AACAGTGTAATCAGTATATATCAACAAAAAATTTGTTTTTAAAAATGTATTTTAAATTATGTTTAATAATAATAACAAAAATATTTTTATTTATTGCAGGTACATTGCATTGCAACATTTTTAGTAAAATAATAATTGAAATAAATAATAAATGAAATGTAGGATAGCTTGAGAATAAATAGATAAAAATAATTATATGTGTGTAACGGAGCCGATTTTTTATTGGCTTTGCCCGGCCTTCCGCCTGCCGGACAGCTCGGTCGGCGCCAAGGATCGGAGAGGGAAAGACGTGAAATTGCGACACTCGGTATTTTATGCTGTAATGTGTCGTTGATTTATTAAATTCTAAACGGTATTTACAACGGAGTTGACTTGATCGGCGCGGATAATACGGCTGGCGCGGAGAAGATGAATCGCGCTGATAATAAGGTCGGTGCGGATAATATAAATCTCGGCGCGGCGGGCTTATATCTAAACTTAAATCTACGGAGGATATATATACACGGGCGTAGTTATACTATGAGACGTTCCTAGCCATGAAAACGGCCGTTTGAGTCGTGAGAACGACTGTTTGTCGGTGTGACGACGGCCGATTGAATCTCCGGGCTCGTGAAGCCGACGGAGATGATGTGCACCGAAGTGCCGGAGAGGATCGAGACAACGCCTCAATCCGTACGGTCAGGATGGTGTTCGAGAAACACGCCTCTAGCACCAGGTTCTGTCGAGACAACGCCTCGACCGGAGGATTTCTAAGTCCGAGACAACGCATTGGCTGCAGGAAGGATCGCTCTCACGATACCGCCTCGAGAGCTCGGGAAAGGAACTGGTTCCGACTGCCAAAATCGGCCGGTTTTTATACTCCGGAGCGGCCTACGGTCCGTCTGGGTTCGGCGTGCGGTACGCGCTTGTTTGCGCGCCGTGTCACGCACCTGTGCCGTGTCGCACGGCCACAGGTCTTTGCTCGTACACGTGTGTTCTTATATGCTATAATTCCGTGCCCTGAACTATCGGTCGATCCGCAAGATGATAGGAATTATAGGAAGGTCGGCGGAATTATAGTAGACGCGTGCGGTGATATATATACGTATATTACTAGGAACGGAATATAGAAATAATGAAAAGAAATAATATATTAGAAAATAACATAAAAGAAGAACAAAAGAAGTGACAAGAAATGATGATAATATATAGGGTGTCTGACAACGAACTATAAAGCCGACGTGTGTAGATAGATCGAGTTATTCTGAACAGAAAAGTTATTTACTATTTTGAAAAAATTGCAATAGTTATTGAAATATAAATTAATAAATGTGAGCCAATGAGAGCGCGCGGAGCGATGATCGGACTCTATAGGCGTGCACAAGTATCAGCTCTACTTCTCGCTCGCCGCTGCTCGCTGCGTACCGTCGAATAGCACCCGATCGCAAGAAACTGAGTTGTTCCGCGCTTGTTTGTTTACTCCGCCTTTCGTTACTAAGACATTACATGAGAGAAGCCATTTTTCTTTTCATCTGATAATCGTGCACACCTATAAAGTCCGATCATTGCTTCCCGCGCCTTCATTGGTTCACATTTATTAATTCATATCTCAATAAATATTGCGAATTTTGCAAAATGGTATATAACTTTTTTGTTCAGATTGACCCGATCTATCTACACACGTCGGCTTTACAGTTCGTTGTTAGACACCCTATATATGTACATATGTACACAGTGGCAAGGCTCGTCTCGTCACATGTTAGTAAGAAACACAAGTGGTCTCGCGGACTGAGTGCAGAGGCTGCGAATATAGAGATCTCGAGTTCAAATCCCGCTATCACATTAGAATTTTTTCAGGTTTGGTCCCTTTCAATGGAGTTTATCGGTTGATCGAGCTGAATCAGGCTTCCAGAAATTAATTCTAGTGAAATCTCGAATTAATTCCCTTCCGACAAAGCAATATGCCATTGGGTTTCTTTTTTTTTAGTAAGTAATTCCACTTCCAAGTAAAATCCACTCTAGGCAACAGATCTGGTCTGCGTTTGATAGCAATCTATCGACGTTTCTGACGACAAATCTGCTCTGTATTTGCTAATGTTCTGTTGACAGTTATGATAACAGATATGTTCTGTATTTGGCGAAATTTTGGCGCCAACAGACAATGACCAAACCTGTTGTGGATTTGACGCCTCACTTTGGCTTCGCTTTGCTAGTGGTAGATCTGTTACGATTTTGGTCTCGTTTTGGCATATTTACATGTTGGACAGATTCAATCGCCAAACCATATCCTACTGAGGACACAGTAAGCTATGATTTTAGCATTAAATTCCGCCGGCAATTTTTGACAAATCCACAACATTCCACAACCAAATTGTTTGCTGGGTAATACAACATTATATCGAAATAACAGTAACTGCAAAAACAATTTTGTTCAAGTTTTAGAAAATTGAGACCCGACAGAGTCTTTTGACTATTTTCTTTTATTTTGGAAAATTGTTTATCTGTCCGAGCAGTAAATATAACAATAAATCTACACAACTAATTAGTCGTCTGATCGGTATAACAGACAGGTCCAGTATGCTCTTACAACTAATAATAATTTGACGGTTATTAAGAGCCTTACGCTGAATATTTATTGCAATAAATAAATATATATATACAAGACAAATGTATATACATCAATATGTATATACAAGACAAATGTATATACAACAAATACATATATACAAGATGTGTAAAAAATATTGGTACTGCGAAAAATCCCGAAAACCAGGCACTTTCCGAAAAAGTGTTTCAGATAAAAGTTGTAAGATTTTAAGATGCTGAATCGACGAGTGACCTTCGATTTAGCTGTCACTCAGCCGCTACGCTGACGGGTAAGTGGTGTCATCTCTTGGAATCGAGTCAAACCAAAACAAAAATAGATGACATGAGAGAGACAAGAATAAACGTATGTGTCTCTCCGGCAGTTCTGCTAAACCTGCATTAATCTTATTGTCACATTTTTTTTCTTTTTACAAGCTTCAAAATCTATTTCTAAAACACTTAAAATATTCGTTTATGTCTGTGGAATAGCTCAAGCAAGTTGTGTTGTAATTTGTGCTACCACTTTTGTAAACAAAGTAAAAATGTCTAAATAGTAACAGTCTGTAAAGTTTTTATTGTTTTTTTGTTGATTTTTGTCCGGGCCACATTTTAGCATATTTTTTTCTTCTAGAGAAACGTTTTCCATTCCGATCAATGGATGCAGAGTAAGTTGTGCTGATAAAACAGAGTGCTGATAAAACAGAACGATTCAACATTCTTTCAAAGAATCTATTTACTGATGTTATCAGTTTATTCTTGAATGACATTGCCAAGGTCATGACAAAGTCACCTTGAATTTTTAAAATAGAACACCCTATTTATTAGTTAGAGAGGTATCCGGCGTTCTCATATGAGATGCAAATCCAGCATCCCGTATGAATTTAAGAATTGAGATTTTAATTCAAAAAATACTCACTTGTAAAAATTTACAAGTTGAACTCGTTACACGTGTATGCATATATATATATATATATATATATATGCATACACGTGTATGTATATATATATATATACACGTGTACTATATATACTATATATATATATATATATATATATATACAGGATGTCCGACAATTACTTTATCTCTCGTAAGCAGATAAAAGAAGTAAACCTGAATCAAAAAGTCCTGAATCATTTTTTTCTATTACATATAATAAAGGAGTAATTATTGAATAAATCAAGCCAATCAGCGCCGACCTTTAGCCGAACGCACGTCAGTGAACCACACGTCTGATGTGCGTGAGCGCTCCGCGCGGCTCACTGACGTGAGCCCGGCTAAAAGTCGGCGCTGATTGGCTTGATTTATTCAATAATTACTTCTTTATTATACGTAATAGAAAAAAATGGTTCAGGACTTTTCGACTTAGGTTTACTCCTTTTACTCTGCCTACGAGAGATGTTAAAGTAATTGTTGGACACTGTATATATATATATATATATATATGTATACTGTATATATACTTGTATAGAGAGATTTTGATTGACTGACTTTATTTAGCTTTCTTAGCTATTTCTATACATAAATACTATACATTGTTAGATATGTATTCTCTTAACAGTCTCTTAAACGCTACGATTTTTTTACATTGCTTTATCTCGGTAGGTAGAGAATTGTACATTTTTATTCCTTCGTAGAACAGACTTTTTTGAGCACTTCTAGTTTTACAAAATGTTACTACTATGTTTCCGGCCTGTCTCGGTTGTCTATCACACTTATTTCCTACTATTTCTATTTTATTGTTTAACGCCACCGATGCCATGTTATTTACGATTTTAAAAATAAATACATTTACGTTATAACACAATCGCTGCCTTACGGACATAAACTGTAGCGCCTGCAGTGCATGCGTTCAACTTTGGTATATCTATTGCATTGTAAAATAATTCTCATGGCACGGTTTTGAGCTATCTGAAGTTTATTCAATTGCGTTTCTCCCATCTCAACTAATAGCGTAGCACAGTACTCGAAATGAGGTGCTACAATGGACTTATATATAATACATCTAGTGTACGCTGACACGAAGGTATCTATTCTATTTAAAAAACTAGTTTTTTTCCCAATTTTCTTAAGCATATAATCGCAGTGATCTTTAAATTGGAGCCTATCATCAATGATTACACTCCGATATTTTATTTTCTCAACGCGTTCTAACTCAATTCCGTCAGAGCATTTCAATGCAATATTACCTCTCTGCTCCTTTCTTACACTTCTGATTATCATGAATTTTGTTTTACTCGCATTCATTTTTAACTTATTAATACTCATCCACTCTTCTACTATGCTAAATACCATGTTCATTTTTCTCTCTATTTCCTCACTACCTTCCCCATTTACATATACTAAGGTATCATCGCAAACATTTTATATTGCACTCTTCCGGACAAAATTCTACTATATCGTTTACATAAATTGTAAATAGCAAAGGCCCTAGTACCGATCCCTGCGGAACTCCATATTCCGTTTTAATACACTTTGACCACTGATTATTAAATCTAATCTGCTGCGTTCTGTTGCTTAAATATGATTTAAACCACTCTAGTACCATTCCTCTCATTCTATATTGCTCTAATTTACCTAGTAATCTTGTCCTATCAACCGTTTCGAATACCCGTTTTAAATCCAGGAATATTACTCCTACCATTTTTTCCTCACTAACTATTAGCTTCCAATCATCAATGATATTTTGTATCGCCGTTTCACATAAATGGCATTTTCTAAATCCAGATTGGTGTTCTGTTATAATGTTATTACTATGTAAGTATTTTTCTATTTATTCTTTTACAACTAACTCTAAAACTTTCTCATAAATTGGTAACATATTAATTGGTCTATATTCACTTGCTTTCTTTGGTTTTTCTACCTTAGGAATCGGTATTATAGTAGATGTTTTCCATTCCTCCGGACATATACCCTTTATTAATGAATCATTTATTACCTTCAACAGTTCATTCTTTATCACGTGTAAGCTCATTTTTAATATATCACTAGATATTCCCTCATCTGTTCCTTTTTTTTGTGGCAAGGCCATAACAATTTGTTCCAATTTTTGTACACTTATCGATTCAAACATTTCAATTACACCTCTATTTTCTATAACATAAATAGTATTTATACTTTTACTCTCACTATTTCCTACAGATTCTATTATATCCTTAATACTCTGTACATAAAATATATTAAATTTATTCGCTAAGGTACATTCTTCTACATTCTCTAATATTTCAAAATTTACATTATTAACTTTTCTTATACCCGTAGCCTCTCCTCTAATGACCTCCTTTAAAGTTTTTCACATTAATATAGAATCATTTTTATTATCATCTATCATGTTCTTATAATATTCTTTCTTTTTCTTTCTAGTTATCTTGACTACCGCATTTTTTTTAATTTTAAACTGTGACCAATCTTGCTCATTGCCGGTACATACCGCTCTCAAATATGCTTCATCCCTTGTATTTGTAGCTAATCTTATATCATCCGAGTACCATTTTTTCCCCTCCCATATCTTTGGAATTAAAACTTTTTCTTTGGTGCTACAATATCTAACGGCGCTACCATATTCTGAACAAATTTCTCCGCTCTTTCACTTACACCTAAATCATTACTTTGTTCTAATTCTTCACCCACTGTATACAAAAATTCATCTACCTGAAATTTGCTGCAGTCTCTACCAATAAACTCTCTGCACTTTTTACTATTATTACTACTACTGAGTTCGACGTTTAGTCATAAATGATCTGTTATCCTTGGCTTCTCATACACATTACAGTTTACCTTAGTATTTGCGAAGACTAAATCTATCAGAGTTTGACTATTTTTTGTAATCCTCGTCGGTTTGTCTACGTATTGTGTTTCATACCCAAACATAACATATCACTCACTAGTTTTTTTGCATAAAACGTATTCGTCATTAAGTCTATATTGAAATCATCTAACATACTGCATTGATTTTTCGCTATCATAAGATCCACTACATTCTCCAAAAATCTCAAGAAATCACCATCTGATGCACTTGGTGAATGATACACGACTATAATCACGTCTTTATATATATTATCTCTCATCTCAACCGCTACACATCAGCAGTTTGATACTATCTTTTTCTTAACTATTACCTCATATTTAATATACAAATACTAACTTTGATAATATTAAATTTCTCGCAAGTGCGTTTGTCAAATGTTTTATTTTATAAATAAAAAAGTTGAAAATTTCTAATAATTGCAAGTTATAAAGTATCAATTCTTATGCAAAAAAGTAATCTCTCTTTTACTTCAAAATTTCATTGAAAAATATTAAGTGATTCAAAAGTTCTAACAATTTTTCTAAAATATCGCAATTGTCCGAAATTTCACAAATTTTCCCCGGTTCCGCGTAAAGTCTGCTCCAAAAGGCCTTGGCGTCAAGGTGTCAATCTTTCACGCTACTCTATCGTACCGCTAGTACATTTTCTAAGGTATTTTGGTGTGGATTTTCCGAGTGATCTGCCTAGAGTGAGGGGTGAGCAATTCGGAAGAGCTATAACAGGGAAATACCGTACCGCTATCGTACCAAATCAAAGAGACCTATCGTACCGTACTAGGGGATCTGTCGGATCGAAGAGCGCCTAGCTCTCGTTCCGGGGGACGAACTCCACGGCGGGCTCGCCCGTTGAAACAGGAGAAGTCTGCAGTCATTCCGATTCGAAATTGATCAAGCTCTTCCGATTTCGCGAGCGCTTTACTCAGGTGTGCTAATTGGCACGTGCTTGCTGCTTTATACTTGGTTGCGGAAGTACACTGCGACCAGTGACGGGAATTCGGCGAGAGCTTCGCGCCGTGCATGCCCGCGGCGTAAGCCTGATCAGCCGCTGCGAGATCAAGTAAGTCCATCGGCGCAAATATTACGCTTTGCGATCCGCCTGGGCACGCCTAGCAGTAAGTGTACGATTTGACCCGATTAATCTATTCAGCCGCTTCAGCTTCTCGGAGACCTTGATTAAACCGCTTGGTACGTTGTCTATCCTACCGCCTAGTAACGTATAGCTTATGTGAAGTCAGCGCGACGACGTAGCGTTCTCGGTGTCACAAGTCGATATACGCAGTTGGTCCTGCGATCAATCACGTTTCTGTTTAAAGTGTATTGTTAATTGTCACCGTACTTTTGTATCTTCTTTTATTTTATTTTCTTTTGTAATCAATTATCGCCGCGACAGAGCGAACTCGCCATATCATATAAGTGAACTTTATTTTTGTATTTTTTTGTTATTTTNGCAAAGTCGTCTCTTACTCCGCGGTGTTATAATAAATTGTTTATTTTTATCTCTATCTGCAGTGTGGTTGATTNCGATTCTAATCCGAGATTCGGTCGGGACAACCTTGGTTATTTATCGTCCAGACCCAACCCCTCTCCGTTCAAATAGAGCTAGTCGGCCCATTGTGTCGAGCGACGCACATTTTGACGCGGTTACGCGTCTGGCGCCCAGAATTTTTACTAAAGATCCGTCGGCTCGGCGCAGTGGTGTGCTCGGTTTACCACCCTTTTCTCTCCTGCCGATATAGACGTTCCCGATCTCGCGGACTTCCGTCCGTGTCCCGATTTCGCACTTCTGTTTTGGGTGGGACGATGCGAGAAACCAAGAACTAAGAAAAACGTCACAATACTATATATAAATATATATACATATATATATATATATATATATATATATATATATATTTATACGTATATATATATGTATATATTTTTTTATGAGGGGAAATGCGTTATGCACCCCCGCCCCGTGGGGATTTGGGCAAGGAGTGTAGGACTTGCACCCACTAAAACCCCTCAATGGCCTCCACTTGACTTAGTAAGGGGACCCGCGGCAGTCAGATGGCTATTACATCTTCGGGCCCCCCCAAGTTCTAGACGAGTCCCCCAAAGGACAACGCCCCCCTCATCGTTGCCTTTGGGGTCGCGGCAGGAGGAGGGGGCTATAGCCCTCCTCAAGCCGCCCCTCCCTCTAGACTTGTGCAATGGCGTGGCAAGTTCCCCAACTTGCCACCCCAAGTCTCCGCCCCCCGTAGCCAAAGTCAGGAGGAGGGTTAATACACTATATGCACATCCCGTACCCGCGACCAAGCAGCCGCCTAATGGAAGCTGGGTCCAGAGGTTATGCTCGAGCCATGACCACTCTACTCCGTGCCCGGGAGTCTGCCCCCAAACCAAGCCTATTTGCTCGACTTGGAGGACTTGCGTACCGACCTAGTCCTGCTTGGTTGTGGGGAAGAGAACAAGTCTCTCCCTCTCTGCCGCTTGGGGGAGGACTCCTTGATGGTGTCCCCCCCCCGAATCCGGCCCCTTTTGCGCCGCACTTCTGGACGGGCGGGAGCCAGCAACAAAGTGCACTTTGGAGCAGCCCTGCAAGTTATGGCGAGATGGCCACCTTTCCCGCAACGGTAGCACGCTGCGCTCCGGTCCTCGCCGAAGCACATGCGCGCGAAGTGCCCGTATTTGAGGCACCAGTAGCACTGCATTTGCCGTGCCACCAGCGCCTCGACGGAGAGACTGAACCACCCCACCTCGATCCTCTTTGTCTCCACTACTCTCCGGGCTGCCCTCAGGGGCATACAGGCCCACAGGGTCCTGTACCCGGTGAGGGAGAAGCGAATCAGCCCAGTGCAAACCTTACTGGGCTGGCAATTACCTGCCGCCGCTAATGCGGCGGCAATGTCTTCCGCGGTGATGGAGGCACCACGTCCCTTACACGCACTTCAGCGTGCTTGACGGGACGGATAAATCTCACCCCCTCCTTGCTCTCAAACGTTCTAGACATTCTTTCGACAAGAGCGTCGGCCTTCGCCGCTCCCCCAGGCCCGCGTACCTGAAGGAGCATCCCTCCATTGGCCGCCCTCTTAATCCGGAGGCCGGAGATCCCGACCTCCTTCAGCTCGACGGCGGCCGCCGCTTTCTTAAATGCTTTGGCATAACTGCCGCTCTTCCCCAAGATTAAGAGGACGGCAGCCCCACTAGGGAGCCGGCCGAGCTTATCCCTCTCCGCTTTCCCGGAGCGCTGACGTGCGACCACGGGAGCCGCAGGGGGCGACATCCTTGGTCGAGGAGGGAGTTTATTTCCCCCTCCTCCGCGCCTTGCGCCCTACCACCGTCGCCCAGGTAAACGGACGTGTTCGGCAGTGGCGCCCGAGGACCGAGAGGTGAGCTCTTTCCAGACTACAGATAGGATCCGCCCCTTCAAATCCTCGCCAATCCTGTCCGCCAGTATGCGGACACACCTTTCCTTTGGAAGGTTCAGAGGAGCGTCAACTTCTAGGAGCTCAACAGCTCCCCCCTCTGTCTGGACCCCCCGGGAGTTCATTCTCGACGACGTGGCAGGCCCCCGGGTGGTCGGGAGCAACGCCGCGGTTATCTCCTGCGGGATCAGCGCAGGCTCACCAGCCTGCGTCCCGCAGTCCGCCGTCTCTCGCCTGGATGCCACTATTAGAGAAAAGCTCTTTGCGTAGGTGGCGTCCAGCGTCTCCCGGGTTTTCCGAGGGAGGTCGTTATCCTTGCATTTTCCTTGCTTAGCCGGAGCTTTTTTTCAAGAGTTCTGACGCGCTTCTCCAAGCGCGCACCAGACCCGTCCAGCTCCGGCCTCGTCGACTGCCCAGGGTTGAAGGCGAGGGCAACAATGCCCTCTGCGATTTCCTTCATCGTGGCCGCTACGTCTCTCAAAATTTTAACATACTTTTTGTGGAGGTTTTTGGACGTGGAGGCCACCTTTAGTATCACTTCCACGGCTGTGTGGGTCTTTTGGACCATCTCAGCCGCGGAGGGAACCGGCCCCGAAAGGCTGGAGGACCGTAACTCCACGGTGTCATTCCAACACCGGTCCTCCAGCTCGAGCACTGCTTCCGCCCGCTTTGCAGCTTTGTCGTTCCTCGGCTGCAACGAGCTCCAGGTACTGGTCGGCAGTCGGCGGTTGGCTTCTTCCTCCAGTACCCCTACTGGTATTAGGTGCCGATGTCGAGGCGTCTTCCAGCACCTTTATACTGTCCGAGTCCCCGGATGGCGGTGGGGACCCAGACACGCCGGCAAATTGCGAGGAGCGAGAGCGCTCCCTCGCCGGCTTCTTCCCCTTGTCCCCTTCAGGAGCGACGCCTCCTGCGTCCAACCTCGTAAGGGGGATATGCGCCCCAAACATGCGCCGCGCGCCAAGCGCGAGCACGTCAGACCGCTCCTTTGCAGTGGCTTGTTCAGCCACCGTCCCTGCGGTGCAGGCGGTGGATAGCCCATGGCGCGATGACGACATGGGGATGCCTGGGACAGCAACATCCCCACGCCGGGCCCTGAGTGTTCGATCACTCTAGGCCGGTAAGTCCTTATCCTCTTCTGAACTACTCATGTTTGCTGCAGAAGTAGTGGTTTGATTTTGGAGTTTTCTTTCTCCTAGGCCGGCTGCCCACACAGGGCTGACGAGCCCAGCCTGCTCGGGTGCACTCTTGGTCAGGCCGCTCCCCGAGAACCTGTCCGGCAAGGGTGACCCTGCCAGGAACCGAAGTTCCCGCCGGCATAGCTCTACGGATCAACACGGCATTCAAGCCCCTCCACCACGACAAGGTGGCACACTCTCGGAGGAGATATATTGTATATATGTATATATATACATATGTATATATATATGTATATATATATATAAAATGATTCGGCAGCTCTCCTAAGTGCGGTTCCTCACTGCGTCCTATTTTCTCCGTTCCTCCTCGGGTCTCTTTTCCGGCACTCACACTGGCCACAGTCAACTCGTTTCAGGAGGCGAGGAACTCCCGTCTGTCACGGCACGCACAACAATGAAGCTGATTCCTGCGGCAATTACTCTCGTTGTCTCGCGCTGTTCGCCGCGCCAGGTAACGAGCTAATCGTATTCTTACTCTTGCGGCGCTGTGATTGACAGCGGCCACGTGCGTCTCGGCAACACGTCTACGGCCCTTTGTTGGCCGTAACCGGCTCGTTCTGCGTCAATTTTCACGTAGATGAGCTTACTTTGGCTCATCTCCTCGCATCGCGCGGCCAAGAACTCCAAAGGGAGCTCCGCTCCGGTTTTCGTGGA